CATATAGAGGTAGATTGTCATTTTGTAAGGGACAAAGTCATGGAAGGAAAAATCAGATTGCATCACATTTCTACTAAAGAACAACCAGCAGATATTTTTACCAAGGCATTGGGAACAAACCAATTTCATAAACTTCTTAGCAAGATGAACATAAATAATATTTATGTACATCTTGAGGGGGAGTGTCAAGATTCACCCGNTTAATACAGCAGATCGAATGGTCAAAACGAGACCCTTTAACAGTCGACCACTCTGTCAAGATTCACCCGGCAAAGAAGAGGACCAGCTGGAAGAGAAGAATGCAAGTTGATATTCTGTTGAATTAGTTAGGTTTGTTATTTCCCTTACAGCTGTATAGTTAGGATATTTACCACTATATATAGAGATCTATGTAGAGTACGGGAAATCAATTTTTGAAATAAGAATTCAGATATTTTCTCCAATTATCTTCATTTCAATTTAACACACTCTACCGCTGAGCTTTCAAAGAACAAATGGATATCAGATTGTTAATTTCTATGGGATTTTAGTGGAGAATGGATTGTGGTTGAATCACATAAATGGATACATACAAGGAAATTTAATGCAATTTAAGAACGTGGGTGGCTGCACCTAATTGACTATAAATAAAAATTCAGATAGTTTTAGTTCAAAGAATTTCAAGTTGAAGAATTATTAACTAATGCATAGTTTTAGTTCAAAGAATTTCAAGTTGAAGAATTATTAACTAATGCAGTTTCTTTCGTTGAAATTCTGTCAAGATTAATACAGATTTGCATCAATGAGGAGAAACGTGCTACTAAATGGAAGTAATTTCATTGTTATTCTATTGCCTGACTTGTTATCATGAAATAATGATGCACAACACGTACTATCTTGAAAGTGTGTGTATGTATTTTATTAAATATTATTGTAAATGGTGACATGACAGTAATTTTTTTATGCTTATACTTGTGTGGTACAATGACATGGTGTTTGAATTGATGACATGCTAATATTCAAGTATTCTTCTTATGGCTAGATCTAATCTCGTGATCCCCACGAAAGGGAAGAAGGATTTCTTCATTTTCCCTTTGGGAAAGGAGGACTGGGAAAGTCCTCTTTATTGCAGCTTTTTCCACAACTTCGGGAAAAGCATGAAAAAAAATTGCTCGAACGATACGATTCCTCTATCACCCTGGAATGGTGGTATGAATTGTTCTTGAATTCCGACGATGAACTTGAAATCACTACAACAAAAATCGGCTTTTGCAACGTTTAAAAAACGTTGCGAAAACCTTTTTACAACGTTCGTGCATGTTTTGTTGGCTTCAGTGTTGCCGTAGACTATAAAGATACGACAACGTTTATACACCGTTGCAAAAGCTAAATACAAACGTTACCGTTTAGTTTTTTGCAACGTTTAGAAAAAGTTGCGGAAAGTCATTTGCAACTTTTTTAAACGTTGCGAAATACAAGTTTTAGCAACGTTTGAGAAACGTTGCAAATGACTTTCCTTAACGCTTCGATGAGTGTTGTCGTAATGTTTTAACAACGTTTTTTAAGTGTTGTTGTTACTTTCATTCTGGACTTTTTGCAACGTTTTGTAAATGTCGCCGTTACTCTACTGCAACGTTTTTTAATTGTGCCGTTACTCTTCTACAACATTTTTTAAGTGTCACCGTTACTCTTCTGCAACATTTTTTCAAAGTCGTCGTTCCTCTACTATAATGTTTTTTTAAATGTTGCCGTTCCTTTTTTGCAACATTTTATGAATGTTCTCTTAACCAATTTATAAATTGTGTTCACCTTTTCGCAACTTTTTTTTAACGTTGCCATTTCTTTTGTCCTTAGTTTTTGCAACATTTTATAAACGTTGCTAAATGTCTTTTTTTTTTTTTATGAAATCGTCATTTTTTTATTTCTATATTAACCAATATATGTAAACACATTTTTATAGTAAAATACGTAAATTTAGTAAACAATATCATGTGTACAAGAAAAATAATAATAAACATTATTCATCTAATCTAAAAAATAATTATTATTATGGCCAAGTTTATTAATTCTTGATAGAGCACATAATAACGAGACTTATAGAAA